CTATCTACCTATCTACCTATCTATCTACCTATCTATCTACCTACCTATCTATCTATCTATCTATCTATCTATCTAAGTACCTATCTATCTAAACAAAACGATTTGTATTGATCAGCCGATTCATCAAAACACACGATGTAAACACAGCATACAGTATACATCTAGTCTGAGTAAAAATAGAAATATACAAGTACAGAGGGAAAAAGTGGGGGTGGCCGACTTGCAACCTAATATACCTTAATCTTAAGTATATACATCAAATGATTGATTGAATGAAATGAAATAGAAAGATACAGAATGGGGGACGCCTGGCTCGAGAGCAGTGCATGTGAAAAAGATCTTTGGGTCCTCGTGGACAAAAAGTTAAACATAAGCCAACAATATGATGTGGCGGCAAAAAAAGCCAATGGGATTTTGGCCTGCATCAATAGGAGTCTAGTGTCTAGATCCAGGGAAGTCATGCCACCCCTATTTCTGCCTTGATTAGACCACACCTGGAATAGTGTGTCCAATTCTGGCCACCACAATTGAAGAGAGATATTGACAAGCTGGAATGTGTCCAGAGGAGGGCGACTAAAATGATCAAGGGTCTGGAGAACAAGCCCTATGAGGAGTGGCTTAAGAAGCTGGGCATGTTTAGCCTGAAGAAGAGAAGGCTGAGAGGAGACATGATAGCCATGTATAAATATGTGAGAGGAAGACATAGGAGGAGGGAGCAAGCTTGTTTTCTACTGTCCTGGAGACTAAGATGCTGAACAATGGCTTCAAATTACAAGAAAGGATATTCCACCTGAACATTAGGAAGAGCTTCCTGACTGCGAGAGCCGTTCAGCAGTGGAACTCTCTGCCCCAGAGTGTGGTGGAGGCTCCTTCTTTGGAGGCTTATAAACAGAGGCTGGATGGCCATCTGTTGAGGGTGCTTTGAATGTCATTGTCCTGCTTCTTGGAAGGGGGTTGGACTGGATGGCCCACGAGGTCTCTTCCAACTCTCTGATTCGATTTTAATTATATTTGAACTTCTGAATTGTATTTTTGTATGCTGTAAGCCGCCTTGGGTCCGCTTGCGGAAAAAGGCCGGGTAGAAATATATTAAATAAATAGATAAATAAATAATTACATGGCTGATTCATGAAATTAAAAAAAATCACATGAAAAAGGGACCAAAAGGAACATAAGAGAGTTAAAAGGTGGGCCAATATTCACAAACTGGATTTCAAGAGGGAGAACTGTAGGGTACTAGATTGGGCAATAAAGATGAAATGCCTAGATATGGGATGGGTGACCTCTGACTTGACGACAGTCCATATGAAACGGAATTAGTTGTCTTAATAGGCCACAAAGTGAACATGAGTCAAGAGTATATTGCAGCAGCTTTCCAAGTCCACGCTGTTCTAGGCTGCATCAATGGAAGCCCAGTGTTGAGATGGAGGGACGTCCTAGTCCCACTCCCTTCTGCTTTGGTCAGACCTCTTCACCTGGAATAACCCTGTGTCTAGTTCTGGGCAAAGCCATTGAAGAAGTGGATTGCTTGGAGTTTTCCGGACTGTATGGCCATGTTCCAGAAGCATTCTCTCATGACGTTTTGCCCACATCTGTGGCAAGCATCCTCAGAGGTTGTGAGGTCTGTTGGAAACAAGGCAAGTGGTTCATATGTCCGTGAAATGTTTCGTGTGGGAGAAAGAACTCTTGTCTGTTTGAGGCAAGCATGAATGTTGAAAATGATCACCTCGATTAGCATTGAATAACCTTGCAGCTCAAGGCTTGGCTGTTTCCTGCCTGGGGGAATCTTTTGTTGGGAGGTGCTTAGCTGGCCCTCATTGTTTCCTGTCTGGAATTCCCCTGTTTTTTTAATGTTATTCTTTACTTACTGTCCTGATTTTACAGTTTTTTAAATACTGGTAGCCAGATATTGTTCATTTTCATGGTTCCCTCCTTTCTGTTGAAATTGTCCACATGCTTGTGGATTTCAGTGGGTTTTCTGTGTGGTCTGACATGTGGTTGTTAGAGTGGTCCAGCATTTCTGTTTTCTCAAATAATACGTTGTGCCCAGGTTGGTTCCTCAGGTGCTCTGCTGACGTCTTGGGTTGAATGAGTCTGCAGTGCCTTTCATGTTCCTTGATTTGTGTCTGGGCAAGGCTGCATTTGGTGGTCTCTATGTAGACTTATCCACAGCTGCATGGTATACGGCAGCTCCTGCAGAGGTGAGAGGATCTCTCTTATCCTTTGCTGAACGTAGCATTTGTTGGATTTTCTTAGTGGGTCTGTAGATAGTTTGTAGGTTGTGTTTGTTCATCAGCTTCTCTCTCTCTGGTCAGTGGTTCCCTTGATGTATGGTAAGAACACGTTTCCTCTGGGTGGATCTTTGTCTTTACTCTCGTGGCTCGTTCTCGGTCTTGCAACGCTTCTGATGTCAGTGATGGAGTAACCATAGGCCGGTAGAACCCAGTTTAGATGGTTCAAGTCACCTTGGAGGAGGTGGGGTTTGCAGATGCTTTTTGCATAGTCTGCCAGGGCTTTAATGGTGCTTTTTTTTTTTTTTAAAAAAAAAGGGTAATGGTTGGATTTTTTATGTAGGTATCTAACCATATGTGTAGGTTTTATGTAATGGCCCAATTGTTGAGTGAGTCTTTGGATGACTAGAACATGTAGAAATGGCAGTTTTCCTTCATTTTCTTTTTCCATGGTGAATGGGATGTTTGGGTGGATGCAATTCAAGAAGGCTGTTGACAAGCTGGAATGTGTTTAGAGAAGGGCAACGGATACAATCATAGATCTGGAAGCCAACCCCCTTCTGCCACTCAGACCACTTTCTATGAGGCCTGTAAACCATGAATTCCTATGAAGAGCAGCTCAGGAAATAGGGTATGTTTATCTTGGAGAAAAGAAAGCCGAGAGGGATATGAGAGCCATGTTTACCTATCAGAAGGGGGCTGGACTAGATGGCCTTTGGGGGTATCTGTTAACTCTATGATTCTATGAATGTGTGAATCTATGCTCCAGCAGCAGCTGTAGCCAAAGAAATCAAACTTGCCTCCTACCCAATGGGACACCCTTCCAAATATTTAAACATGGCCCTCATGTCCCCTCTCCGTCTTTTCCTTTCCAAGACAAATTTTCCTGGCGAGTCATAATTGCCAGACCTTTCACATTTTGGGTCATCCTTCTCTGGACAGAATCCAGTTCGTCCATATCTTTCCTGACCTTTGGTGCCAAGAACTGGACACAGTCTTATTCCAGGCAAGGTCTGACTAGAGCAGAACAGATGCCCTCCTCTGGAGGGAGACAAAGCGTTATGAAGAGGAGATGTGTTGTGGGTCAAGTGTCCCATGGGGACTGTGACTCTCAGCAGAAGATGGCCACCATTTCCCCTTGGGTTCCTCCTTATCGTTTGCTCCCTGTCTCTCACAGAAGGTGGGACAAGGCAGTGGTCGGCATTCAAGAAAGTAGGGCTATTCTGTTTTGGTCCCCAGATGGGCCTTCTCTGAAGAGGGGAGGGAATTCTGGAGCCCTCAGGAGTTGTTTGACTGCAAATCCCAGCAGCCTCTGGCAGCATGGTCAATGGGGAGGAATGTTGGAGATGGCAGTCGAGCACCATCTGGGGATTCCAGCCCTGAGAGAAAGAATGGGAAGGAAAGAGAGAGATTGTGGCAGAAGGAAAAGGCCTTCTTCGGTAAAGTCTTGAGACCAAACCAAAAGAAGAAACAACCAAAGGAAGGACAAAAAAAAAAAAATAAAAAGAGAAAAGAGTTGTTTGACTGCAAATCCCAGCAGCCTCTGGCAGCATGGTCAATGGGGAGGAATGTTGGAGATGGCAGTCGAGCACCATCTGGGGATTCCAGCCCTGAGAGAAAGAATGGGATGGAAGGAGAGAGATTGTGGCAGAAGGAAAAGCCCTTCTTCGGTAAAGTCTTGAGACCCCCTTCCTTTCTCTGCAGTTTCTGGGGAGAGAGGACCCCCCCTTGGAGTCTAGCAGCCTGGTGGCCATCTGCGAGACTTCAGAGAGGTATCTCCTGTCCATGTTTTTGGGGAGAGGGCATGCAGGGGTCTGGGGGGTTGGGGCCCGGAGATCTGGAGGGGGCCGTCTCAGGACGTTGCCTTCTTCCCATGGGCTGGCAAGATCCTTGGGATGGGGCTTGCCTCTCTTGGGGGGAATAGAAGGGAGAAGCTGAGTTCCTCTTCTGCCCCTTGCCTTTCTAGCAGCTTCATATCGGAGAGAATCCCAACTCCTCCACAGAAAGAACTATCCAGGGAGTTGGTGAGTGAAAGAAAGAGGCTGGAAAATGGGGAGATTGCCTCTCTTCGTCCTTTGGGAAATGGATTCGGGCTCAGGGCCATCCCAAGACCTCTTGAGTTCTAGGTGGCCCTTTGCTGAAGAGGCCTCCTACAGTGCTCAACTGTTGTTGGAGTGCAAGTCCCAACAGCCCCAGGCAGTGTGTCACTGGGGAGGAAGGCTGGGGGTTTCAGTCCAATTCTCTCTGGGAGAAAGGGGGGGGGGGCACTTGGCAAAGAGCACAGCCCTCACTTCCCTCTTCTTCCCACTCAATAGGGCTCCAAAGAAGTTGGTGTTCCTTCGGAGCTGTTCGTGCAGGAGGGGGCGGCCCAGGACCTCGAAAATGAGAGGTACATCCCTTTCCAGGTTCAGGGCCACATTGCAGTCAGAGATCCCCTCCCTCCCTCCCTCCCTCCCTCCCCTCCTTCAATTGAGGCCAAGGGGGCTTGAGCCTGCAACCTTCTTTCAGGGTTGGGGGGGGGGGGGTAAGAGGAGAGGATGCCTTCTGATCTGGCCTTGTTGTCTCTCTCTCTCCTTGCAGTGTCGATGAGCCCCCTGAGAAGACATCAAGGGTAAGGAAGGGAAGGGAGCGGAGGGGGGGGGGGAAGAAGGGTGGGGCTCCTTCCTCTGCATCCCCTCCTCTTTTCCTCTCCCTGCCCCTCCTTTAAGCTTCTTCCTCCTACTCTAGCCTCCCTCTCCTGAGATGTCTTCCCATTCCTTCCCCTTTGCCCCTATTTCACTTCTCTATCTAATTGTCTTTTACAGGACCCCGAAGAGGCAACATTAGCTGATATCCCCAGCCTGGAGGATGAGGTGTGGGACCCTCTCCCCAGTTCAAGCAGGTGCGTTGCTCTTTGCCGGGAGGGATGACCATTGCGCCCCTCCTTGTCCTCAGTCCCTGGCCTACCAGGCCTCACCTCCTGATGCCTCCTTATGCCTCTCTTCCAGCTCCCTGGGCCACGAGGAAGGGGAAGATCTGGCCCTGAAGCCTCGGAGATGGTCCTCCATGGACCTAGAGCAGGTAAGGCCCAGAGTTCCCCCCACAAGTCCTGGGACCACCACCGAGGAGGCATCGCCCAACGCCTTCCTCAGGACGCAGAGAGGAGCCTCCTGCATCGACCTTTCAGGTGACAGGTGTGTCCTAGAGATGTCCGGCCTTCTAGTCGGCTGCTCTTTAGCCACAAGAAAGGTATGTTGGGCCCCCAATGCCCCATGCCTCCCAACAGGCATCCTACACATCTTCACTCACCATCCCTCTCCTTCCACTTTTGGTCCCAGGAGACTTTCCATGTCTCCCGAGTGCCACTGTTTCCCTTCTTTCTTCCTTACAGGCGCAAGAACACCTTCACCGTCTGTGCCAGCTCCTCTGCAGTCCCTCCTCTGCAGAGGCCATGCCGGCCGTGGATTACGTGGCCCGCAAACATCTCAAGATGGCCACGGACCACTATCTGGAGTCCAATGGGAGGTAAGAGAGCTGGGCCTGGGGGTGCCACTCCCCTGTCCCCATGGGGTTGGAGACAAGCCTGACCCTGACCCTGGCTCCCTCTTCCCTCTCTTCATTTGCAGGGAGTGTGGTGAATTGATGTGCACCGTTCTCAATTCACCTTACTGCTCCGTGGAGGCGGCGCTCGACCTGTTCCTGGCCAAGGTGAAGGAGGGCCCTTGGCTGGCCGAGGAGGGCAAGGAACAGGGGAGCTCCACTTTGGATGCGGCCACAGTAAGGACATCCACACCCTGTCTTTGGGGGGCTGGGGAAGGAGAGGGGGCCCTCTTTCCTGGCCTTCAGCAGGAGCCCTCCTGGCATTTAACCCTCCTTCTTTCTCTCTGCAGGCAAGAGCGACGCTGGCCATCGGGAAGATCGTGAGATACATCAAGGACAGCACTCGTCTGCAGGGGTGGTTCCTGGAGCTTCTGCTCGCCTTGGTGACTAACTACATCGAGGTCACAAGGCCTGGGTTGGAGGCGCCCAGCAGGGACCAGAGCAGCATCTACGTTCCTCAAGAGTAAGGAGGGGGGGGGGAGGCTCAGTGGGGCTCCCAGGCCTTTTGGGGGGCCAGATGGGGGACTCAAACCCTCCACTGGGAAGTAAACTTTTTTCTTTCATTTTCCTGCAGAGAACTGGCGAAGATAATCATCGTGCTGCTGAAGAGGGTGGCCCGGGTGTCTTTCAAGGAGACCTCCAAGGAGATGCTAGAAGACCTCAGCATCTGCCCTGAGGGAATGGCCCTCCTGTTGCGGTAAGGAGCCAAGGGCCGGAGGAGGTTCGGGGAGGAGGCACAGCCTGGTCTCTCTGGCTGGCTTCCCTCACGGGGTCCCTTTTGTCTTCCAGGAGCTTCCTCAAGTCCTCCTCCTCCCTGCTCCAGCACCTGTATTCCACTTGGGAAACAGAAGCGCCGCTGGAGCATTCGGCCGGAGTGGTGGCCTTCTATATCCAGGTGAGGAGGGTTGGTCAGAATGGGTTTTGGGCTGGAAGGGGGCCTTAGGATAGGCGGGGGAGTCGAGGAGAGGAGAGGCAGTGCTTCCCTTCCTGGCTCCAGCTCTTCACACTTCTCCTTTTCTATTTCAGCTGCTGCACACTGGCCAGCGCCCACACTCCCCGGAGAAGACCTGGGCACTGCTCACGGCCTGGCTCCAACATCACAGCCTGGCCGTACAACATCAGAGCAGGCAGGGCCTTCTCCTTCTGTGCAAGACCTACAGGGAGGTAAGTCAGGCACAGCCCCGGCTCCACACACCACACAGAAGGCCAGCTGAGTCTAGATCCAGCAGGCCTTGCTCTTGCAGTCGTTGGAAGAATGTACGATGCAGAAGGTCCTAGGGGGTCCCTTCCCCAACCAAGGGGGAGGCCTGTGTCTAGACGTTCTCTGCAGGGGACCTCTTAGGCATGGCCCTCCTTTCTCTCTCTTTGCAGACCATGAGGCTCCAGGAGCTCCTGGACGGGGTCCTTGGGGGGCTGCAATCCCCCCACATCAACGTCGTGCTGGAGTTCCTGGGCCTGGCTGGCCAGCTGGGGCCCCTGCTGCACAAAGAAGACCAGGGCCCTGCGAAGGCTCACCTGGCTGCCGGATGCCGCCCTCTCTTCCACCACGTGAGTCTTGGCCCCTGGTCCATTTGGGGGGGGGTGTAGACTTCCCCCTCTCCCCAAGCCCCGAGAAGGGGCTTCACACAAAGAAAGGGGGAGAAAGAAAGTCTCCTTTTCCTTTGTTTTTTCAGGAGGCGGCCAAGATCAGGAAGGCAGCCCTGGAATGCTTTCAGCGTTTTCTCTGGCGCCCGGAACATCAACATGAGGAGCACAACACCATCCACGACCTCCTTACGGTGCTGGTTCACGTGGAGGATGAGGACGAGGAGGTGGCCAAGGTGGGAGGGAGGCCCAGCGCTGGCCCCTCAAGGCCTTGGGGCTCAGAACAGGGGTCAAGGGGGGGAGGAAGGGGTCACTTGCCCTCCAAGTGAGCCTGACTCCTTCCCTCTTCCTCCTTCTCCTCTTTGAAGACTGCGAGAGAGACCCTCAGGGAGGCAGCGGAGGTCCTCCGATGGCACCTGGAGGACAGCGTTCTGGCGGGAGACACCTTCAGCCTGCAGGAGCTGCTTTACAAGATCTCCAAGCGCCTGGTCAGTGCTGGTCCTGAAGCCTGGGAGTCAGGGGGGCCTTATGCCCAGCAGGCATAGGGAACCCCTTTTTTGACCTCATCTCTCTCTCTCCTCCAGATCCAGCACTGCAGCTCCAGGAGTGAGTTGGAGGAGCAGGTGTATGGCTGCCTGCCTTTTTTCAAGAGCAAGCTTCCCTCGGCCAAAAAGGCAGCGGCCATGTTGCTCGGTAAGGGACCGGGAGGGAGCTTAGCCCCCTTTGTGCCCATTCTTGGCTTCTAGCTCACTCTCTGGGGCAGGAGGAGTGCCCTCTTCCCCAGAGGACCTCTCTCCCTCCACCCTGGACCAATGTAGAATGGCCCTTCGAGCTCATTCTGGGAACCCAGAGCCTTATTGGGGGGAGAGCAAAGACCAGGGTCCTCTTCCTCCCCTTCTCTCCCTTCCTTCTGCCTGCAAAGCCCCCTCCCCAGCCTCCTCTGGGGCATCCCCCTCCCTTGAGTGTAGTGTTGGGTTCAGGGAGCTCCAGAATGGTCTTTGCTCAGGGAGATGGTCCCTCTCTTCTCTGCCGCCTTCCTTCTCTCCAGGTCATGTGCTTCACAAGAACAGTAACATCTGCACTGAGAGGAACACCTGCACCTACGAGGCCTGTACGTCAGCCCAAGAGGGACTGGGCCTTGGAAGTGAGGGTCCTGGGGAGTCCGTGTGCCGTCCCTCACCTGCTGACCTCCCTCCCTTCCTTCCAGGGTTGATCGATCTCCTCACCGACCATGACCCTGAAGTCAGGAGAGTTGGCTGGCAGACCAAGGCCATCCTCACCAGGGCCTCTGCCCTCCACTCCCGACACGGGCTGCGAGCTGCTTTTCGGCGCTTGGTGGCAGGCTGCGGGCGAGAAAGGTACCCCCCAGAGTACGCCAAGGGCCCACCCGCCTGATGGACAGGTAAGCAAGGAAGGGAGGAAGGAGAGAAGGAGGGAGGAATTGAGGAAAGAAGAAAGGAGTCTCCTTCACCCAGTCCTCCTTTCTCTGTCCTTTGCAGGAACACCACCATCTCCCGGCGTGTTACAGGAAGACCTCCGCTTCGCTCCAGCTGTGCCGCAGCCCCAAAGGGAAGTAGCGTTAAGGAGGCGGGAGTCTGCCCAACCCTAGCCCAGGGAATCCCCGCCCCTTTCCAGAAGGCCTGCCCCCACTCTGGGCCCCATTGCCACCAGAGGCCCTTGGAGCAGAGCAGAAAAGGAAGACTGCTTGGGCCCCCTCAGGCCCCTCTGTTGAGCTCAGTTCTGTTCTGTGGGGGATTGGGGGACCTGGAGGTGAGGGGCCACCACCTGCTCCCTGGGCCTTCATTCCAACCCTTGGGCTGGGCTCCGCCTCCTTTGACCTCCGGACTCCCCCACCCTGACCCCTCCCTCTCGGCCTGGGATGCCACTACCGCTTCCTCCCTCCCTCCAAGGTGGCATCCCCACAAGGGCGCCTCCCTCCCCTTGCCCAACCCATGGGTGCCACCCCTCCTCCCCCTTCCCTCCAGGCACAGCCAGGCCTCCCTCCTCCTGAGCCCCTCCCCCCAAACACCCCCATTGCCCCCTCTCCCCACCCAATCAGAAGGGCCAAGAGGGCAGAGGTGAAGTCGTGGGTCACAGGGTCACAGCCCCCTCCTTTCCTGGGGAATATCTTGAAGTTCAGACTGCATTATTTAGCAACACAGATCCAGCCACAGGTAACATATGGGGTGACTGCATCAGGTCTTCAGAGGCAACCTTGGCTCCAGACAGGCCCTTTATTGCGGAAACTTCTGCAAAAAAAGGGGGGGGGGCTGTCCAGATGACATTCTGGTCAACCCGCAATTAATTTGCCACAAACCAGCGAAACCTTGGTTTGTGGAAAATTAATTAGTTAGTGGATTTATTTTGTACCTCTTGGAAGCTGTGGGATAAACCCACTACTTCCGGTGTCTGGACTACTGTCATTTTTCCGGACTAAATTAGTCCGGAAAACTGTGGGAATCCCATCCTCCTCCCCCACATCCCTCAAACCTCCTTTAAAAGTAAAATAAATTTAAGTAAGTTTATTTTACTTTTAAAAGAGTTTTGGGGGCTGTGGGGTAGGAGGCTAGGGTCTGCAGATGTTCACCTGGACACCCACCCCAGAAAGCATGCGCTTTCAGGGATGGGTGTAGACAGGCCCCCAGGAATATCCACGTATTTTAATCGCAGATGCTCCTGGGAGCACTCTTGAACTTTGACTCATAGCATCCTAATAGGTAGTAAGCTGACTAGGATTTCAGCAAACTGAATTCCAGAACACGTTGAGAAGCACAATTTGAAGGTCTATCCAGATAGGACACAAAATGTGCGCCCTCCTGCATTTTTCTGAGAGGTGTCCAGATGACAGCTCACGTAAAGGCGAATGCATTTGGCACAAAGCAGAAAAGCTCTGCTTTGTGCCGAGGTAACTTAATTGCTGGAAAGACATGGGCCTTTCAGTAGACCTATGTCTTTCCAGGTGAGGGAGCTGTGTAGATGGGACCGGAGATTGCGCTGTGCGACATCCAGTTCCCCTCTATACAATCTACCTCGGGTTTCTTGGGCTCCTGGAGCCACAGAAATGTAAGACACACCCTCCCCAAACCCCTTAAAACTGCCTTTCTAAAAGGAAAGCAACCTGCCCCCATTTTCCTTTCTCTGGAGTTCTCCTGGGTCGTACCAATGATGCACAAAGGGGGGGGGGGAGGAAAATTGCTCCTGTCCTGTCCTGTCCTGCCTCCTCCCCCTTGGTGCACCATTGGCATGACCCAGGAGAACTCCACAGAAGGGCAAATGGTGGTAGGGTGAGTTATTTTCCTTTTAAAGGGATATTTAAAGAAGTTTTCTTCTTTGTCCTGGTTTCCTGCGGGAAATCCTGGCAGGGCATGTGGACACTCTCCTCATCCCCAGGAAAGCACACACTTTTGGTTTTTTTTTGGGGGGGGGGGCAGGTAGACTAGAACTGGGGAACATTCGCGTTTTTAAAATGTCATTGTTCCTGGTGTCTGGAACTGCCCTGAGAAACACTGCTTTAGACTGTGAGTGACTACTTTGGGGTTGTCCTTGTTCACAGGTTTGTCCAGGCAAGTGACAGCCACTGATGGGCCCGCTTTCCCCAGGAGCTGCATTGGAATTGCATTTGTATTTACCAGTGTAGCCCCTGAGGAAGGCCGGCCCATTAGTGGCTGCCAGTTGCCTGGACAAACCTGTCAAGCAGGAAGCCATTCCCCCCTCCTCTGGGGCTGTGTCTCCCGATGGGCCTTGATGCCCCTTGGGTTGCCCTTGAGTTCCCCTTGGGCCCCCCACCCACCCCACCTCACCTGGACTCACCCGGAAGGAGGCCTGGCTGCTGGGAGCCATGGAGGAGAAGCAGGAGGAGGAGGGGCAGCTATCCCCACTGACACCGTTTGTGGTTCTTGCAGGGCCTTCACGGATGGAGGACGCCAAGGGACAGTGACCCCTCGAGGGACCTGAACATCGAGGGACATGAACATCAAAGGACCCTGACCAGCGAGGGAGTCTGACCATCGAGGGCCGATTGACATTGAGGGACCCTGATCAGCGAGGGAGTCTGACCGTCGTGGGACGCTTGACATTGAGGGACCCTGATCAGCGAAGGACCCTGATCAGCGAGGGACCATGACCGTCGTGGGACGCTTCACTTTGAGGGACCCTGACTGGCGCCTGTAAGAACAAGAAGAGAGAAGACAGGACTTCAATAAATGTGTTTGGATATCTCGCTTTCTTGTAAATGTTTAAAGTGTATGTTTGTTGTTATTTACCATGTAATTGATTGTCTTTCTTGTATAGGAGAGGATCCCCCTGCCCTGTGGAAGCGCTGCTCTTCCCCTTTGGCTGCTCTGGCTGCCTCCTGTGGATCTGGGGCTTGCAGGGGAGGGAGGCCCAGGCCTCTCCGGCAGAGGAGGGTCTCCAAGGCCCCCCTTCCTCCTCTGCAAATCCCAGGACTCACAGCCCAGCCGCTGGAGGGGAAGAGACGCCCTTGGACAGCGGAGTGAGAGAGGCCCCCTAGTCTGTGTATTGTAGTTTTACCTTATGGATTTGTGTAGTCTAATATTGTATTCTTTAATGTCTGGCTAGAATAAATGTACCCCTTTCTTTTTAATGTGGCGCTTTCCTTAGATTCCTTTCGGGAGGGAGACCCAAACTGCCCAGGACTTGCAACTCAGCCCCATCCACACTGACCCTTTCATGCAGGTTGAATGGCATATGAGGCTGGATCTATACTACCTTCTTTCCTAGGATCTGATCCCAGATTATCTGCTTTGAACTGGATTATATGAGTCTGTACTGCCAGATAATCTTTGTTAAACAGATAATCTGGGATCACATCCTGCTACGTAGGGCAGGGTAGATCCAGCCTGAGTCTGCACTGACCATCTTATACAGTTCTACCAGCATGAAATGACAGTGTAGATAAAGCTATAGGCCCCATGTACACTGACATATAATCCGTTTTCAGAATGCATGTTAACTGTGGTTCAACCTGGATTATATGGCAGTGTACACAACTTTATAAAATCCGGGTTCTCTGTTTTCAACTGGATTATTTTGCAGTGTAGATTGATTTAGATAATCCAGTTCAAAGCAAATAATGTGGAATATCTGCCTTGATATTCTGGATTATAGGGAAGTGCAGAAGGGCCCAAAATGGGGCCTAAGAGGAGGAAGTGAGAGATGACAATGTTCCCATGTAGGCCGGATCTACACTGCCCTATATCCCAAAATCTGATCCTATATTATCTGCTTTAAACTGGATTATATGAGACTACACTACCAGATAACCTGGAAGAAGCAGATAGTCTGGGACCAGAAACTGGGATATGGGGCAGTGCAGATCCAGCCTAAGTTCATACTACATGAAATTATAATGAAGATAAGTTTCTATGACACTGGCATAGATTCTAGTTTCAGAATACATATTAACTGTGGTTCAAACTGGATTCTATGACAGTTAGATGGGGCCATAGTGTATCATCTCTGTTGTATAGGCTTTGTAACCAGAGTTGTCATGTAGGGCAACCCTGACATCAATTGTGACAATATTATATTACTCTATAGTCTGTTTTGTCTAGTTTCCTGTAACCATTTATATAATGTCTGCTGTATAGTATTAAAAGATCTTTGCTTAGAATAAATGTATCCATTTCTTTTGAAAGTGGTGCTTTCCTTGGATTCCTTTGGGGAGGGAGACCTCAACTGCCCAGGACTTACAACTCAGGCCCCATCCACACTGACCCTTTCATGCAGGTTGATCTGCACTGTATGGTGAATGTAGACTCATCCCTGTATGTCTGTAATGAATATATAATCCAGTTCAAACTGCATGCAATGTACAGTTTAGATGGAGCCAAAAGCCTCATTTGCACTGCCGTATAATCCAGTTAAAATTCAGGTTAACTGCAGTTCAAAATGGATTATGTGGCAGTGTAGATGGGGCCTACAAGGAAGAAGTGAGAGAAGACAACAATGCTACTATGTAAGATCGATCTACACTGCCCTATTCCCCAGGATCCAAACTCAGATAATCTGCTTTAGCCTGGATTATATGAGCCTGTACTTCCAGATGATCCGGTTTAAACAGATTATTTGGTATAGGATCCTGGAATATGGGACAGTGTGGAAGGGATCGTAGTCTGTGCAAATGTGTGCGTCATTAAACTGTTTCATGTTGAGATCATGTTGTGACCAGGATGACATGGCTGTGCCAATAAAGTTTGTTAAATTTTGTTAAGAAGAACTGTTTGTGTGTGTGTTTTAAAATGCTTTGCTGGGGGATCTGCTCTTTGTGGAAAGTGTGGATAGTAGCAAACCCTGTAGTCTGCAAAATGGAGAATGCGTCCAAGGAGTGAAGCTGTGACTAAAAAGACGGCATCAGCAGGAATCGCTTGTCTCGATGGAGGGGAGTGACAGTCCCATCCTGCGTCCCTTTCTGGAGACCACAATCCAAGAAGAAAAGGGAAAGGCGGAAGGGTCCAGGAAAGGAAGGGCCACCCAAAGGGCCAAAGATTGTTTGCAGATTGTTCTTTTCAGAGCCAAACTAGACATCCCAGGGAAGAATGAGCAGGATGCTTGGAGCCGGCCGATGCCAGTCTCTTTGAGCAAACACCTCAAAAGGGCAGAGCAATGAAGATGTGCCTTCCCTAGTCATAGGGTGACTCCACACTGTAGAACGATTGCCTTTTGAGCCCATGTGAACGGCTTTGGCTCAAGGCTATGGAATCCTGGGAGTTATAGTTTGGCCGAGAAGGTCAGTGCCGATGTGGCCTACAGTGCATTTGTGCTATAGAATTAACTCGCTGTTGAAGTAAACAACAGTCTTTTTACTTATAGAAATATATATTTTGAAGAGGCCACGTGGTCATTGATTGTATTGTACTGCCAAATAATACAGAAGATGGCACGGTTCAAACGCCCGCACATGTTCAAGTCTCTATGTTACAGTTCAAGTCTCTATGTTAACAAACATACGTTACTTTCAATAGCACTAATGTAAAAAAGTAACACTTAAATGCAACTATTTCATTACTTGTTTACTTTCTAGGGAGGAAGTTTTGTGATTGTTACTAAAGACTCTTCCAAAGTAACTTCCTACAACAAAATATGCCAGCAGGATGACATTAGCCAACATTGTCAATAATCATGCAAATATTTGAAGAATGTATCTACACTGTAAAATGTATGCAGTTTGATGCGCCTGCACTGTGGAACAGGTGCAGTTCTACCCCAGTTGAACTGCCATGGTTCCATTTGACGGAAATGCTGGAATCTGTGGTTTGACGAGGCATCAACACATTTTGGTGCAGGAGGCTCAGGGCTTTGTCAAATGAAAGTCCACATCATGATTCCACAACACTGAGCCGCCACAGTTCGAGGGGTGCTAAACCAATGTAGACTGGCCCTGAGATCTTCTTCACTCATTATGATATGAGATTAATGGGAAGTGGAACAGATTTAACACACCCAATGGCCTTAAGGAAGAGAGGTGTTTGCCTTTCGGCCTCAGGCGGTGAAGCCTCTGGCCTCAATCAGGAAATAGGGGCTAGAAATCAAATCTGGGTGTGAACGATTCCCCCAAATTCCCTTCCGCCCCAAGGCTCCTGAAATGCCTCTTAAGCATTTCAATCCAATTCAGTAAGCCTTTATTGGCATATACATAGAAAAAAGGGATAAAATACAGTACAAACCATAGAAAAGGCAACTTCACATTTGCTACACATTCAGTTTACAGATTTTGTTCAGGAATCTTGCCACTGAAAGGCAGCAGTTACAATCATGACAATTTAGAAGCATCATTACTTTGTCTGGGTCACGGTGATTTTTCAAGGAATCTATAACTTGTGGTAGTAAGCTAGATCTTGGTTCCTGGTAAAGTGGGCAGTGCAGAAGAAGATGCGGGATGGAATCCAGCTGTCCTGTGCTACAGGGACAAAGGCTCTTATTGCTTGGTAGACCGTGAAGTCTTCCTCTATGGAGCGGAGATGGCATGATATTAAATGTGGCCAGTATGCAGGCTCTCATGGACGAGGGGTTGGTGAGTGCTGCAACAGAAAAGGCTGGATTTCCCTGTATGAATGGAATTGCCATGTTCATAGGTGAACAGGATTTATTGCCCAAGCACAACAATAGGTTAGAATCCCTTTCTAGCAGCCTCTTTTTAATAAGGGGAAAGATCTCGGTGAAAGTTAGCAAGTTCAAGAAGTCACTATGATAGCCCAATTCCCTGATCTTTGCTAGAATTGTTGAGCAGCATTTTGAGTGATGGAGTTTGCTCAAGGTGAGTTGGGTCAGAAAGCTGCTCGGGCTTTGGTAGTGGATAGATAACCAAAATTTGATGACGTTTAGCCAGATAGTGGCCTTTATGGAGCACTGGTCAGATTCTAGGCATAGAACTGCATACGGGACACTAAATAATTTGTAGAGGAATTTTGAGTGGAAGGATCTGATGGCACTGTTCTTAGGGATTAACCAAATGGACACCCCATAGAGTAGTTGTGACATCGTCTTTGCTTGAAAAACTTGCAAAGCAGGGGGGATATATTGGTTGCCCCTGGAATGGAGAACCTCCTGATAGCACTGTCGCTTGATTGGGCCCAGGTCAGTGTATATTTTAAGTGAGTGGACCATGACAGGTTGAACCAAAGTCCTAAGTAGTTGATATAATGCTCGATATAATGGCTCTTTATCTTCCAGACTTGTTTTTTATTGTTTTCTCCAAAACCAGGATCTGGTTTTATCATAATTCACCTGCAGATCATTCATCTCACAGAAATTTGTGCAGTAGTCTTTTTAAACCCACATGGGAGAGGGATAGTAGGGCTGCATCATCTGCAAATAGCAAGAGGGAAACGTGCTTTGGGCCAATCTTGGGGCTATGCCCATCCACTAGTCAGGCGAAGCTTGGCATACATCTTCCCTATTATAGAGAGCAGGTTTTCTTTGCATTCTTTAGCACAAAAGGAAGCAGGCCTTGCAAATCTGGGTTTTAGCCTGCCCCTTTAGGACT